TGAAATGGAAGGGAGCAGAGAACCACAGAATTCTGTATCTAGAATATTTCATGATGTGGATTCTGTATATAATGTGTGGGAAGAAGGTTGAGCTGAACTAGATGTTAATAAAAGAAAGTCTTCCTTTCCTTTCTGTACCCCATGTTTTTAGAGGACTCCTGAGACTCTCCTGAGAATGGCACTATGCTTAGAAATGCCCTTTCATTTGTTTACAACTCCCCAATGGCACCTTAGATCTAGCTTCCCATCCTTTTTATATGCAAGGGCAGTAAACTTAACCAATGTGCTGGATTTACAGAATTTTCACAGATCTCCTGTAAATTACCCATCCCATTGTGTAGACCAGGCTCCGCTCTGTGGCAGTGCTTGGGAACTACACTTTCATCGGTAGCAGGGGGTCAGGAGAAAGTGGGCTTTCACTCCTGCCCCCTAAATGCAGAAGTGGCCTCAGCTCATTCTCTTTCCTGTCCTTCCCCCTTCTTTTCTTCCTTAAGGCAGCTTCTTTGAATGGGAAGATAGTGAGCTGGCAGTTCTCTTAGGCCGAGCAGAATTCCTCTTGTGCAATCTAGTGGCGTATAATCAGGAATACTATTCCTGCCATCACAGCATAATGCTCTTGACATTATTAAGGGCTTTTGACAACCTTACCCAGACCAGATTTTATCAAGGGGAAATTGACTCCTGTCTGAATGGAGGTAGCTTCCCTAATCCTAAACTTTTCTCCATAAATCTTAACAACCTTAAGGAGACTTATGTCCATTTGCCCTTCGTACTACCTGGAAGGCATCCTGCCCTTTGAAAGCAGGCATTCCCTTTGTTTCTGGCCAGGGTCCTCCTCCATGCATCCTTTTCTGTGATACCAAGAAAACAAAGTACTTTCTCTCTGCTCTTCTTCCCCTTTCAGTGTGTTCTCTACTGCCTTCTGTTATGCGATACTGTGCCTACTATTTTTTTTTCTTGCTTTCTGCTATAGAATATCCTTTCTGGACTATGGTTGGCAACTTCTTCAGTCTCAGGACGGAGACTTTTTTCTGGCATATTGCTGGACTGTGTTTATAAGTGAATGTGCACATAGTTCCTGTACATGACTGCAGTCTTTAAGCCACCTAAATTTTGTTGCCTTCTGAACTAGCATGATATAGGCATTTCTTGCTGTTGCAGTTTCTTGGCCAGTGTATTTTCCACTCCCTGCTCCCCAAACCCCTAATCCCAGCACTGTATGTAGTGTAACAAGCAGTGGGGATCTGTGAATGTTTGGCCTTGTCTCCATGATGCTCTCTAAATACTTGTCAACAAAACTAACGAAACCAGGAGAGCAAGAGCAATTGGCTGAGGATTTCAAGTGGTGAAAAATAAGGCTTCTTATGGTGAACAGTATGGATCAAACTAGAGGCTTTGCATGCTGTGTAAAGAAAGCACTGAATCCTGTAAACAGCAGGGAACCATTAAATTTTGAAATTATCTGGCCCAGGAGGGTTTGTTACTGTCTTGTTTTGCAGATGTTAAAGGTTAGAAAGGTAAAGTAACTTGTCTCAGGTTCTACAGCTAGAAGGTAGCAGAGTTCGTATCAAATCTAGGACTGACCATCACTAGAGACTGATTTCTTGTTGGTAATTTGCTGCCTTTAATATCTGGTTCCTAGGTTTAAGTAACAGAAACGTTATGTCTTTGCGGCGGGACCTGATGATTATATTTGCTAACTGCAATGAAGAATGCTCTTTTTAGGCTCATTCTGATCTGTGGCTTACAGGCATTATGAGAGAAGGGGGTCTTGGATTCTGTGTCAGTCAGGCCCTGGAGCATTGTTATTTGGATGGATTTTTATGAGGGAGGAAGATGCTTTCTGGCTTCCTAAAATCAATATATAGCAACAAAATGATGGTCCCTACAGACATATTTTGAAAGCAAGACACAATGAAGATGAAATATGGACCTAAATATCCAGAAATTCCAGCAATTAGTTTGTCTTAAAAATGTCGGTGGAATAAGTGTGTGCCCGTGTTAGTTAGCAAAATGGCAAAATTCTTACAACATTAAGATTATGTTGGGGTGTGAGGGCACCCGGGTGGCTCAGTGGGTTAAGCCTCTGCTTTCAGCTCAGGTCATGATCTCAGGGTCCTGGGATTGAGCCCCACGTCAGACTCTCTGCTCAGCGGGGAGCCTGTTTCCTCCTCTCTCTCTGCCTGCCTCTCTGCCTACTTGTGATCTCTCTCTCTGTCAAATAAATAAATAAAATCTTAAAAAAAATTTAAAAAAGATTATGTTGGGGTGCCTGGGTGGTTCACTTGTTAAGTGTCTGCCTTTGGCTCGGGTCATGATCCTGTGGTCCTGGGATTGAGCCCCACATCAGGCTCCCTACTAGTGGGGAGTCTGTTTCTCTCTCTGCCTGCTCCCCCTACTTGTGCTCTCTCTCTCTCTCTCTCACTCTCACTCTCACTGTCAAATAAATAAAATCTTAAAAAAAAAATAAGAGGCCAACTCGATTTCAGCTCAGATCATGACCTTAGGGTCGTGAGCTCGAACCCCCGTGTCTTCGTATGGCTCTGTGCTGGATGTGGAGCCCTCTTGGGATTCTCTACTTCCCCATCTCTCTCCCTCTCTTAAAAAAAAGAGCGGGGGGCACCTGGGTGGCTCAGTGGGTTAAAGCCTTTGCCTTCGGCTCAGGTCATGATCTCAGGGTCCTGGGATCGAGTCCCGCATTGGGCTCTCTGTGCAGCAGGGAGCCCGCTTCCTCCTCTCTTCTCTCTGCCTGCCTCTCTGCCTGCTTGTGATCTCTCTCTGTCAAATAAATAAATAAAATCTTAAAAAAAAAAGAAAAAAGATCACGTTTCAAGAGCTAAGAGGGACAAAGAAAATGTGAAACTTCCATAGCCTCTAAAAGGAAAAATAATTTATTTTAATGGCCCTCAAAGTTGCTTAAACTCAATTATCGTCTTATATATGTTAATGTCTTAATTCTGTCTCACAGTACAAAAAAAAAGTCACATCGAACGAATTTCTTATGCATAACTACAATGTATTTAATATTCATTTTTTTCAGAGAAAGTGAGAGGGACAGTGCAGGACATTTTAGCACATTTAGGTATAAACTGGGAGTAGTCAATGAATTTCAGGTTTTACAAGATGAAAGCATGCCAGGAAGTATCCGATTTCTGCCGAGAAACACGTTTCAGGAAACTAATCTTAAAAAGATATAAACAATATGGTTATCCGACTTGCTTGGGGGAAAGACTATAGTTTTAAGTTGTTTAGAATACTGTGTACAAAGATATTGCCAGTTGTATCACTTTTTGAAGAGATGTGGGTGCCAAAAAAGAAGTTTAGTATTGCTTTGGTGTCTCTTAATTTTTAAGGATGGGGTGGTAATGGAGATGGTTTTCTACTCAAAGCTGCTCCTGTTGGTAAATGTTTCTTTTACAGCCTTTGTTTGAAAAATCACGCATTTCAGTGAAACCATCCAAAAGGAAATAGGATTATGGATACTGAATTCTGTGATTAAAGTTAATCCTAAAATATAAACAAAATGTGGAAAGTGTCCTTCAAACATAAAATTTATGAAGTCATAGTAGCAAGGAGATCAGTATCCTCTCCCCAGTTCCCCATCCAGGGGTTTCTTTACTGTCTGTTCGGAGTGCCTACTTCTGAGTAGCTTTATGGTGTTTGTGATACATGCTGGGGGAGGAGGGAGGGTTGTCACTTAAGAATGCTGTGTCCCGCCGGGCGCCTGGGTGGCTCAGTGGGTTAAGCTGCTGCCTTTGGCTCAGGTCATGATCTCAGGGTCCTGGGATCGAGCCCCGCATCGGGCTCTCTGCTCAGCGGGGAGCCTGCTTCCTCCTCTCTCTCTGCCTGCCTCTCTGCCTGCTTGTGATCTCTCTCTGTCAAATAAATTAAAAAAAAAAAAAAAAAAAGAATGCTGTGTCCCTGGAGCCAGCAGGTCCAGTTGCTAGGAAGCCTTGCCTGAAGAATGGTTGAATCCTTTTGGCTCTGGTTCTCAGCATCAAGCTGCCTTCCTCTAAGTCATTCCCTTGCATTTGGTAATGAGCCAGTGGGAAAGTAGGCTTTGAGGAAGTCAGTCAAGAGGGGAGAGCATAGGAGATGCTCAGAACAAAAGAAGGATGATGTCAGTGTCCCAGTTAGTGTCCTTCTTCAGAAGCGGGAATAAGTTCTCTCAGATTCTTATTTTTGCCATTGTTTTCTTTTTAAAACCTTTAAAGAAATTGTGAAGTATAATACACAAACATTTTTAACTGGCTCACTGAGATTCTTCCCTTCTTACTCTGCTGCCTTAACTGTCCTTTCCTCTGGTGATGATTGCAGAAGATAACAGTTTGGAGGCTTTGCTAACCAAAGAAGACAGAAATAGAAGTTGAGATGAAAAAACCCACAAAAATATCAGTGAAAGAATAAGTTTGAGATCCCTACCAAAAACAATTTCTGAAATCCCATTTTCTTATAATACCCAAGGCAGCTGAATGGGAAAAAGACAAGATGTGAGGAAAAAGGGGAGAAATGAACATGAGGCATGGAATCTTCCAGATCCCTATTTCTTGTCTCCCTTTATTTCAGACTGCTTTGTTCTCAGGACTGATGCTTACAACTGGGTTGCAAATAGACCTGGGTTATAACTGTCTATTTTTCTAGATTTGGAAGAACATGAGATCTAGATATATATTATCTTGGGTATATATAATTATGAAAAAATTATTGTATATAATTATGAAAAAATTATTGTATGTAATTATGAAAAAAACTGTAGTAGGTCTTTGGCAGTCTTCTTGCATATATCAGATAGGAAAATTCAGAGATATTTAGTACCTTTTCTCTACTTGGAAGCTGCTCTGAATAGATTTCATTGTGTGGGAAGCCAACATAGTGGGATAAACCTTAATACAATGCAGATATCATTGTTAACTCTGGATAAGTGGGATTTGATAAAGTTACACTGGTACTTGGATAGGCAAGTAAACATAAATTTAAAACAAAGATTATTTTTCTTACAGTCCTATTTTGTAACGGATTATGACCCAACCATTGAAGATTCCTACACAAAGCAGTGTGTGATAGACGACAGAGCAGCCCGGCTAGATAGTAAGTGATCTGCCTTTATTTGATAGTTCGATAGCCTGTTTTTAAAAAGTAAGCTTGGGCATTTTGCTAGTTGCACACTACAATGGAAATATCATAGGTGGTGTTGAACACAAGCCCACCTCCTTCATTAGTTTTGATTGATGCATCAGCATTTTAGGATATTTAAATATTTCTCAGTAAATGTAATATGAAACAGTAATTATGTTGACCTTGTGCTGGTGAAATTAATCTTGTCATTGTAGCTTGTTGAAGTTGTATTTTGAGGGACATTTGGGAAAAAAACATGAAGTTTCAGCTCTTCCTGCTTTCCCGCAAATGTTAAAATGGGTGAAGTAAATATAGAAAAGATTGAATATTTGTTAACTTGCTTGGAATTTTTAGCACAGAGGCGGCAGCAAATAGGGTTTTGTGCTTGGTCACGCACTCCCAAGTCTGCACAAAAGATAGTCCTGTTCTTTTAATTGACACGATTCTTTCATTCCCAGAGATCAAGAGGTGCATTAGCACCTGCACTGTAAGTGTGGTGTTTGTGGGGAGTAGACCAAGATTTCTTTCGTGAATTTACAGGTATCTTTTTCCGTTCTTTCCATGGAGGAGATAAAACATTCAAGTGACTTCAGAGGTGATCTGACTCCATCTGCCTAGATGTATTCGGTATTTTTAACCTTGTAATTGGTATGCTAATGTATTCTAGCTACAAAATCAACCCGTACTGATGAAGATGACTCTGAAGCTGTCTGCTGTGAGATATGTGTGTTTCTAGTGTCGGGAATAGAGTGCTATGAGGAGAATTCCATGTCTTTATTACACTATGTATGATGTGCTCTGAAGGACCCACATTAATTGGGCCTGCCCTTGTGGGGAAGCCATGTATGAGATGAAAACATGAACACGGTTACATGTATTGTTTTCTCTTTAGTTCTGGATACAGCAGGACAAGAAGAGTTCGGAGCTATGAGAGAACAGTATATGAGAACTGGCGAGGGTTTCCTGTTGGTCTTTTCAGTCACAGATCGAGGCAGGTTTGTACCAGTATTAAAATACAGATCTTCTGTTCATGCCTAGATCACTATTTTATTGAATTTGGACTTCTTGTTTTTAGAGAAAAAGATAAAGTAATGAGATACTAAATGGGGTGTGAGACTAGCCACGTTCTGATATTTGAGCAAATTGATTTGTCTGTTTCTGTTTTAGTTTCGAAGAAATCTATAAGTTTCAAAGACAGATTCTCAGAGTGAAGGATCGTGATGAGTTTCCAATGATTTTAATTGGTAATAAAGCAGATCTGGATCATCAAAGACAGGTGAGAAGGAATGTTGCTGCTGGGAATCCCATTGTTGATAATCACAAAAAGATGAATTGGTGAACAGATGTGTTTCATGAAACTACTGAAAGTGCCATGATCAGAAAACCTGCTGACCGTGGCACACTAGATCTGGGGATATCAAATTCTCATACATATTTACACAGAACTTCAGTGGACCCTGTAAACCTGTGAGTATTTGTACTAGCTCCGTTCACATGTTATAATTTCTTGGATAATCTCCAAAACTTTAATTCGGTTAGGTCATCTTAAAGTTATCCTTTATTACAGGCCAAGTTTTTTCAGTGTTAATGCTAAATTACTTTCATTTAGAGAATAGCTTTGACCTGAATGACAATATTTGGGTTTTCCCTGAGTTCCATCAGTGACGGAATATTCTGTTCATTCTTTGCACTGGCAGGATCTAACACCAGTAACCTCTAAGGGAAGAAGATTTTTAGTATTTAGTTGTAGGCTAGATGATACTCACTTGTTTCTTTACCCACTTATTTCACATTTAATTTTTAAAATTTGGAGTATATATTGTCCACTCATATTTTTGTGGGCGAGCAGAACAAGGTCCGATGTAAATTAGTGCAGGCTCTCCCGTCACTTAGGGTTTCTTTTTGTGTCTTTTTATTTCATTTCAGGGTTTAGCCTCTAAAAATTACATCTGGAAATGTAATTGTTTAAGTTGTTTCTTAATTTTTGCTGGTATTTAAATTGTCTTCTGTTTTTATATAGCTTTATGTTACTTTTTAAGATTTTGTTTGAAAGTGCAAACATCTGGAAAAATGGGTTGAGAACACCTCTGAGGACAGCCTTCCATTTTGTAGTTAACTGTAATTTAATACAAAACTTTGTGTGCTCTATTTGTAAAATTTTGTTGAAGGTATACCAAGTTTAAAATGTTGGCTTAAGGGGCACCTGGGTGGCTCAGTGGGTTAAAGCCTCTGCCTTCGGCTCAGGTCATGATCCCAGGGTCCTGGGATCGAGCCCCACATCGGGCTCTCTGCTCAGCGGGGAGCCTGCTTCCCCCTCTCTCTCTGCCTGCCTCTCTGCCTACTTGTGATCTCTCTCTGTCAAATAAATAAAATCTTAAAAAAAAAAAAAATTAAAAAAAATAAAATGTTGGCTTAAGAGAATATTACTGTTCCAATGCTAAGATTTAGAAATGTTTACTGGTGATATTTGATGTAGAATAAATTTTACTGGTAGGTCTTTTTAAAATCTGAATTATTATGAAGTTAAGGTGAAAAAAAATTTTTTTTAAAGATTTTATTTATTTATTTGACAGACAGAGATCATGAGTAGACAGAGAGGCAGGCAGAGAGAGAGTGGGGGAAGCAGGCTCACCACTGAGCGGAGAGCCCGTTGCGGGGCTCGATCCTAGGACCCTGGGATCATGACCTGAGCAGAAGGTAGAGGCCTTAACCCATTGAGCCACCCAGGCACCCCTAAGGTGAAAAAATTTGATCTTCACTTCAAACCAGTATAAACTTTTTGAAATAATTTAGAATATGGCATTGTTCACATCTTAAACCTTAAGAGTAGATATTCCGTCTATTTTTGAATTTTTTTATTTTTAGGGTCATTTCCTTCAGGGTTTCTGAACCTAACTATATTTATTAAAAGTTACCAGTAGAATCTGTCTGGTGATCTTCTCAGTCCTTTCTAGTACTGGAAACACTTTTATATGTCACTGGATCTGGGAGTAATTGCGAAGTAGCTCTGCCGTGAGCAAGAGGCTCCCCTCCCTACCTCTTCTACCCGACCCCTGAGTGCTTTCTGCCCTGATGATGGGAAAGGTTTTTCTCACACCTTTCCATGGTTGTACGTAGCTCCAGTAATAGAATAGGTGGGAGGACTGGGGTGAGTTGGAGGTCTCCTGTAGGGTAGGTGATGGTAGGTCAGGAAGTGTGGGGAATCCTATGTCCCCCAGACCAAACAGGCCCTGCCGTGATGGTCCTAGGGCAGAGGGTCCGTAGGAGTTACTTCTAAGTCATCTCTCTACTGAAGATGGCATGTTTGTGCCACAGTTTCCTATGTCTGCAGATCATCAACGTATTATGGCACTTCGACTTTGTTTCACACAGTGGGCTTATAAAATTTTTCATCTAAGGTTTTTTCCTTTTTATAAGAAGAGTAAAGATTCTCAGAGTAAAATAAAAAAGGTGATGAGAAGGAACAATGTAGGGAATGGTAAGTTTCATATTTCCATCACCCTGAAGATAGCAGTTGGCCTGGAGTAAGTTCTTCTATATTCATTTCTCTGCTTTAAACTGTATACACGATAAATTATGTATACATGGAAAGCTCAAACGTGTGTATCCAAGGGAGAAGAGCAAGTAGCTGAGATCTGACTGCTTAATTTTCACTCATTCCTGTAGATTCTGCTCTCTGAAGGATAGGCACTGAGAAAAACTGGATTCCTGGCTTCTGCTTCATCTCCTCTTCACCCTTGCACTCAGGCACAGCTCCTGCACTTACGGGAGCCTTGGGTGCTGGCTGGCTGCAAATCCTACTGCCTTTCCCTCATCCCATTCATTTCCCACTTGTTTGCACGATTCTTATTCACTTTCTCATTCTTAAACTGACAGCACTTTCTTCCCCTTCCTCACTCTCAGCTGATGATGAGTAATATTTTCCTATTTCACTGAGACATTTCTGCACATTTCCACCTCCACATGTACTAACCTAAATACACATGTACCCCCATCAATTCTGCCTTCCCCCATTTAGGTGGATAAACTGTTCACCTGTCTGTGCCCATCCTCTCTAGTAGGCACTGGGTCCCCTTCCAGTTTTTCCCATTCCTTTGCTGCATGATCGTTCCCACCAGTGTGGCTCTCCTCTTTAAAACAATCTGTAACTATAGCAAAAGCTTGTTCTTAATCTCACATTCTTCTCTGTGTACCTTTCTGCTGCTTCTTGTCACACAGAACTCCTTGAAAGTGTTATCTACACTTGCTCTCTCTCCTCTCTTTCCTGCCATTGTTGCTTGCCCTGACCCCAGGCATGCAGTGCCTGAGTCAAGGTCACAATTTACGCAGATGTCAGTAACATTTGACACAGTTACTCACACTCTCATTTTTGAAACACTGTGTTTACTTAGCTCTGGGACAGTGGAACCTTTGCCTCTCCCCTCTCCCTTTGCTGATCTTCCCTTCTCTCTCTCAGGTGTCTTAGGGCTCAGGTACACCCTCTTCTAAGGCTCTGGGTGTATAAAGACCATTATGCTTCACTTCCCAGCCTTTGAGGGCCATGCACAGCACATTTGAAATTGAGGTGCTATGGCTAAAGGTTTTTTACCTTTGTAAAGTCTCTTCAGAAGTAAAGGTGTTGTCCAGAATGTCTTGGCACCTTGCCTTGTTTTACCAACAGCCTGGACAGGCCACAGGGATCCCATAAGGATTTCTTTCCCCTGTTCAGAAATGCTTACTTTTTTGGTCATCACCCCTAAAACGTTCTTACTCAGTAACCAGTCTGACTTGTTAATTGACCCAGTTCGTTGTTTCTGCCTTTGTCTTAGACACAATCGTTTGTGGACTTTTTCTAGTTTCTAGCTAGATAACAAATGCCAGTTCTCCATGTTTTTGGAATCTGTGGGTCAGCCCTGGGCATTCTTCCTACTGGCTCCTGAGATTCTGAACCCATCTGGGAAGGGAGATCAGCCAGAAGAGATTTTGGTTACTTTCTTCTGGCTTCTTTATCTCTAGATTTGGCTTCTTCCTTCCATCCATCCATCCATCCATCCATCCATCCATCTATCCATCCAATATTTATTGAACCCTTTTTCTAGACACTAATGACAGAGCAACAGAAAGAACAAAGTCACTGAAGTTTACATTAAACAAAAAGAATTTGGTTAATGTTACTACGCACCTACCCCCTTAGAGATACTTTGATCATTTTGTTTATCCTTTCAGAGATGTAGGAAGAAAACATAAGTAAATGACTTGTTTGTGCTTACTAAAATGTTAAAGTAGGTAAATATGATAGCACACTGAATCTGAAATTTAATACAGCAGTATGTGGGCTTGGATTGTTGACTTGGTGATATCTCTAGTTTCAGGTTCCTTGTCCTTTGACTCAGCCCTGTGTAGAAACAGACTGTTTTGCTTTTTTGTTGTTGTTGTTGTTTTGTTTTGTTTGTTTTTTACTCTTTCTTCTCTCCCAGCTTACCTTAGCTTCCCCATCTCCTTTCCCCCTTGTTAGGTGGTAGTGGCTTACTGTTAATGTGAGAAGGGAACCCATTATACTTAGAATAATACCTAAGTGTACTAACCCCCACTCCGTTTGTTAGTACCTTGACCATAGTATGCCCCTATAAGCCTCCCAGGGAAAAGACATTGCCCGAACCCCCAGTGGTATTAAGGGTCTCTTCTTGCCTTATCTGTTTGTACCTTGTCTGCATCTAAAAGATTTGTAAACCATTGAGTATAAGCAGCCTGAGGGCTTCTCAGTTTTCACCATTTAGTTTTGTTCATGCTTTGTCCTTCACATACAACAAAGGTAAGTACTCAATAGATATTTGCTGAATGAATGATTCAAGGCATCAGTGAATCAAACCATGTATTAATTTGATGATTCTTTCTATACAGTCGATATTTTTGAAAATAAAAACACGTTTTGCTTCTGCAAACTTAGGTTATTTATTAACTAGACACATCTATGTGAGCATTGCAAATGTTTTGGTCTATTCCTACTAAACCCAGTTTAATAAAATTGCTCTCATCATTCTTATCTTGCTCTTCTCTATTTGGAAATACATAGTACTAGATAAACTCATTATTGTGGATGTCTTCTAATACTTATTTGTGCCTTTGAAGTGAAACCACTGGAGGTTCCCAAATGCAGATCTGTGAATTTTTTCAATCAGATTCACCTTTTTTGTTTAAAACAAAACATTTTTGGGTAGTGCTGACCTACCAAGTTAAAATATCCAGGAGATAAACTTTAGTATTTGGTACCTTTATAAAATTCTCTGGGTTGGGGAA